AAGCCCACACACTCCTGAGAACTTGGTTTTATGTGTTGTTCTGCCAACTGTGTGACTTTCAGTAAACATATCATTTCACCTCCTGTAGCCTTAATCTGTCATTTTTATAATGTGGGAGTTGGACTGAGCGATTTTTAAAAAATGACATTAAGAATGTCTATGGGAAGGAGGGCACCCTCTCCAGCACTCTCATTTTCCCTGAGATAAACCATTACCTAACTTTCATTAGATTGGCAAAAGGTCCTGTGATTAACAAAGGTTAAAGAAAGAATCTCAGCCCGGTGGGAGAGGACAATGGAACAGAATATCACAATCTTGTGCTGGAACAGAAAACTGACAGGAGGATTTGATTTGCTCGTTTGGCTGAGAATAAGACACTTTTCTCATGTAAATGAAGACTGAAGAAGATGAGTTTATATGGTTTAAAATGTAATATTTTTGGCTCAAATAGCTGTGTGCCAGTACCTTAGGGATTCATTTGGTTCTGAAAATCATGCACATTCTCTTTGTGAATTCATGCATTCATGTAACTTTCTACTAAGTGGTTTTCACTTTTGGGAGACAAGATTTGGCTACATTCTTCTTACAGCCGATAAACACCGCCACTAGAGCCCTTAGGAGACTTAATGGATGATAAAGACTCCTTTATAATCTAATCTACTTGGTTCATGCTGTTCTGTGTTGACTTGGGGCTGATTTCATGATCAGATAACAGAGCAGCAAGCATATAATTTCCAGTCAACAACTCCTCTTCCTCCTGGATCTCACCCCACCTAACCCACCCAGTATGTTGGCCAAGAAGAAAGTTTTCTCTGGAATGCAAGCACCACCAGGTACTGGGAGAGGCCTTGCCTGTTTAATGCTGTTAAAACAATGCCCAGTAGAGCTAGCTGCTCAGCAAGCCTTCCTTGAATAAATTTTCATACTTAGGAGTTTTAGAATGGTTAAGGATTGGCGACCTCTCTTTCTGAGACTGAGTAGGTCAAGTGTAGCAAACTTGATTCTCTGAAATCGACGTTGGCTTCCTATTTTCTGAAAGCAACGTGGATTGCTGGTTTAATTTATATAGCCATTTGGAGCTAAGACTCTTGATATTCAGGTTACCATCATCTTTGTGAAATACTTAACCAACTAAAGAGGTTCAGGCGGTTCCAAAAGCATCCAGATTTTAATTATAGGGAGCGTTGAGGCATTTCTCCTTCTACAGAGTGTGTATATATATATATATATATAATATTTCATCAACTTAAGGATGGTTTTTGAATGATGGGTGTTGGTTTGAGGGGCAAGATCACGGAGACATGTTCATCTCACTGCTAAGTCCATTTTCTTTTTGCTTCTCCTCCCTTTGTCTTCTTGCTCCTTCCTCCCAGAAATCTACCCTCAGAATCTGGCTTCCTGGTGATCTGATCATTCCCTTTGTGTTTGCTATGTTTATATCAACTTAATGTTGGCAGTTATCTGCACTCTGACTCTCTTCGTTAAGGCATCTTGCTGTGACATACTAACGATATAGGGTCATCTCAGCATGAAGGTTCCTGCAGAAGGGGCAATATTCTTCAGATTCCTTAAAAAGACAGTAACTCCCGGTACATTTAGGCTGGTGTACAACACTGATTCCCATCGGATCTGATACAACGCTTAACATACACGAAGTCTATTATCTCTCACAGCAAGTTTCAGTAGACTTCTGGGACACCACATTACCTGTGAAGCAAAAGACAGGATCCAGTGGGTAGGTGTGCAGGTTTTATGATAAAACTATAATGATTGAGTGTGACTGCTTCAGAGCTTTATGTAATTCACCAAGGTAAGCTAACCTTTTTTCCTCTCATAGCCCCCAAACTGTGTATTGGATAAACACCCTATTCTAAACATTGTGTTGTAATTTTTTACTATTTAAAAAAACCCAGATGTTTATTACTCTTGAGTTATAAAAGAGACAGGTACTATAAAATTACGGTAGCAAAGACGTAAGAAAGAGAAAAAAATGAGAAAAGAATGGATAGATGGGGAAATAAGCTCTCAAAATGGAGCTTTTTGCTGAGAGCCACAGATGCAATACCTTGAGCCCCAAGGGAGCGTTGGTTAGTCCAGCTCTTCCTTCAGCGCAAGCTCAGTAGCTCTGGCCATGACAGTAAATTGGGGCACGGAAATCCAGCTGGGCCTGGGTGCACTAAGAGGGAAGGGCATGATCTTAAAGGGATAGTGACCATTTAAAAAAGTGACACTTCGCCTCGAGGATCAGCCTGCAGACCGAAGGGTTCTATTCTGGTCAAGGGTACATGCCTGGGTTGTGGGCGTGCAGGAGGCAGCTGATAGGTGATTCTCCCTCATCATTGATGTTCCTATCTCTCTCCCTCTCCCTTCCTCTCTGAAATCAATAAAAATATATTTTAAAAATAAAAATAAAACAACACCTCAAAAAAAAATTTTTTTTAATAAAAGAGGAAGACTCTCAATCCCATTATTCCAGTCATAGGCCCTCCAACCTATCACTACCAACATTCCACTTTCTGTGTTTTCTATCTCAGCTAATATTAATAGTACTTCCATTTTCTCAGGCATTGAAGCCAGAAACCTAGGAGTCATTCTTCATTATTCTTTTTGCCTCTGCAAAGTGCAGTCACTATCAATTTTTACCTTAAATTTGACTTTATTTCTCCATCCCTGGTATCACTGTTCTGGTTTAAGCCCTCATGCTCTCACTGGGTCTGAGGCCTGCCTGGGCCATTACAACATACAGTTATAACTGGTGCTGTCCGTATTTCCCACTGTGGTCAAATCATCTTTAAAAATCACTCTCCTCCCGCTTATGGCATGTCATCTGTAGGAAACAGTTCAAACTCCTCAGCACCGCATACCTAGCCTCTAGCAACTATCAGACCTCATCCTGATGCCCTCGCCCTCCAGGCTGCACTTTCTGTTCTCACAACAACCACCTCCTTTCTATTCGGGCCCACTTAAAATATATACCCTTCCAGAGAATAAGATGAAATAACCCAATTTGTACTTAATACTTTATTAATTTATCTGTAGATCATATATTAATTTATAATTTTTTTCACTCCTACCCATCACAATGTCAAAGAAAAAGTTTCCAAAGTTAAAAATGTGACTCTTACCAATATAGAATGAACCCACGTTTATTTTTATTTTAATTAATGAAAGAATTAGTAGGATCGTAAAGCTGATGATTCTGAGAGCATTTGAGGAACTGGTTATTTCAAGGGAAAACAAAAACACAAAAACTCAGAATGTTAAAATAAGATTGCTAGGTCAGATACAAAACGAGTTAGTAATGTTTTATAGGGTGATGAAATAATAGATGGTCTTTTCTATTGAGCATAATCATTTATATCTCTACCAAACAAAAATCTACAAATTCACACACAACTGCACAGTGCCTGGACTCTAACTCATAGTAAAGAGCAAAGCCAAGCACAGGGAAATCCCTGACAGAATTAAATAATCCCGCGTGGGCCTGTTGAACAATGCTTCCTTACTGCATTGAAGGACATACAGGCCTCTTCCAAGTGCCCGATAATTTTTCTTAACAATAGACTTTATTTTATTTTATTAAAACACGTCACACAAATAGCTTCTGTCAGTGTTTTCACACTACAGCAATCACTTTGAGCCACCTATCAAAGTTTTCCAGAATACAGCATTTTCATGTCCCCTGAGTTTTATCAGATAAAGCACTCCTGGGGTCTTGTGTAAGCTCTTATGAGTGTGAAAAGAGGATATGTGAAATTACTGTAAACATTGTGTAACAGTGCATAGTTATGTGGATGTTAAAAATGTAGGAGTGCCGAGACCGGTTTGGCTCAATGGGTAGAGCGTCGGCTTGGGGACTGAAGGGTCCCGGGTTTGATTCCGGTCAAGGGCATGTACCTTGGTTGCGGGCATATCCCCAGTAGAGGGTGTGCAAGAGGCAGCTGATCGATGACTCTCTCTCATCGATGTTTCTAACTATCTCTCTCCCTTCCTCTCTGTACAAAATCCATAAAAAAATATTTTTAAAAAAAATGTAGGAGTGATGCTCTGGCTGGGTGGCTCAGTGGTTGGAGTGTCATGTCGGTACACCAAGACTTCAGGTTCAGTTCCGGGTCAGGGCACATACCTAGGTTGTGGGTTTGATCCGTTGTCAGGGCCAGTGTGGGAGGCAACTGATCCTCTTTCTCTCCCGCTCCCTTCTCTCTAAAAGGAAAAAACAAAACCACACACAAAACAACTAAAGACAGTGAAAGTACTACATGATAAAACAGAAACAGTCGAAACCGGTTTGGCTCAGTGGATAGAGTGTCAGCCTGCGGACTCAAGGGTCCCGGGTTCGATTCCGGTCAAGGGCATGTACCTTGGTTGCAGGCACATCCTGGGGGGGGGGGGGAGAGGGGTGTGCGCAAGAGGCAGCTGGTCGATGTTTCTCTCTCATAGACGTTTCTAACTCTATCTCTCTCAATTCCTCTCTATGTAAAATCAATAAAATATATTTAATAAATAAAAACACAAGACTCTAAAAAATGGTATCTTATCTTCATACATTAAAAAAACAAAAAACAACAACTACTGAGAAACACAGCAAAGGAGCTGGAACGCCCCTCCCCCTCTCACGTTAAACCGCTTTGCACAAAAGGCCGAATGCTGCTGAGCCGCCACCAGGCCGCCCGGCCCCTCCGGCCCCTCCGCGCCCCTAAGCGGGCGTGTGTGCGGGCGCGGGGGGGCCTGGGGGCGCCCGGACTGCGGACCCCGGTTTCTCCATCAGAAAGGATGCCGCTCGGGGAGCCACTTCCTCTTCCTCTGCGCGGCAGGCGGCACCAGAGGCTGCAGTTTCTGCCTCGGACACACACACACACACACACACACACACTCCGTAACAGGAAGCGCCGGGGACCGGCTCTCCGCCGCCGCCCCGCGCCCCCGCCCGCGCTCCCCGCGGCGCCGCGAGCCCCAGCCGGTGCCACCGGTGCGGTGCCAGGGGAAAGGGCTCGGGCGCCATGGAGGTGGAGGAGGCCTTCCAGGTGGTGGGGGAGATGGGCATCTACCAGATGTACTTGTGCTTCCTGCTGGCCGTGCTGCTGCAGGTGAGTGCCCCTGTCCCCCGCCTCCGCCTCCGGGGCCCCCCCTTCCCCTCCACACAACACCGGCCGACTCCGAGGCTCTGCGGACCCCCCTCCCCAGGCCTCACCCCGCCCTGGGTCCCCAGGTTGCCCCAGACCTTGCAACGTGGGCGGTTCCCCAGGCCCATCCAGCCCTCACCTCGAGAGTGTGTGTGTGTGTGTGTGTGTGTGTGTGTGTGTGTGTGTGTGTGTTGTGTGTGTAGCGATCGGGGGGTGGGGGTGGGTGGGGGTGGAGGGGGTAGTTGGGAGGTAGGGGGGGGGGCTACTACAGCAGACCAGCCTGTTACTAGGGATGAAAATGCCGTTGTTGCCTGTGACCCACTGTGAAGGCGAAAGTAATTGTTGCTCTAACCTGTGGGCTGTCACCTTGGAGTGGAGACAGCCGAGCGCCCCGCCCTGGCCACCGGGTCCGGGCAGGTCCTCCTCCTGCTCTGGGCATCTGCCTGCTGCCTCGAACTGGATTCGAGCCGCTTCCTGTTCCCGAGGTTGTCAATGCATATAGGTTTATTTTTCTTAAGTTCTTCTGGGTCATTCTACCCCGAGGCCAGTGCCGGTTGAGACTGAATCAGTCGTATAGAGTCATCTCCGTGTGTGATTATAAATGGGACCACTTCTTCACTGTACAGAATCCCAGACAACACTTGCACACCCCAACCTAAAGGCCTGGCTTCCCCACACTCAAGGTCGCTGCAAGTTCACTTTTGCAGGCAGGAGTTACTGCGTTGCCTGCTTAAAGGGTCCGTTTGACATCCACTACCTCTTCCAATATTCTTAAAGACACTTTATTCACAAATCCTTTTATTAGTATTCACTACGAGTCAACCATTTTACTTACTCCTTCATTCAACACCTACCGTATTTTCCGGCATATAAGACGACCTTTGAAACGGAAAAAAAGTCAACCGAAAGTCAGGGGTCATTCATTAAAAACTTAATTAAAAAAAGAACTGGTGTTGCCTTGGAACTGGGGGGTAGTCTTATACAGCGAATATAGGCCAAAACCTATGTTTTAACTGTAAAAATTAGGGGGTCGTCTTAAACGCCGGAAAATACGGTATCTGAGTGCCCACTGTGTGCTTGGCAGGGGCTACCATGGTGGACAAATCAAAGCCCCTGGCCTATGAAGCTTGTATGCTAGTGGGGTGGGGTGAGGCAGGCAGACAGGTAAATAATTACAGTTAATATGTAATGCGGGAGATTCTGAGGGAAGTACAGTTCATCGGTTGCTTAAACCTTGCATAAGGCAACTGCTCACTCGGAAGAGGGGGTGGGGAGAGGTGAGGGTGGACTTATCGATTCTGTTTTCCATTCAGATGTTTGAAGGTTCAGTTGATTTCATCACCAGCTGGGAGGACTGTCCAAATGGACTGGTAGATGACGTCAGTGCTTTCCCTAGCCAAGCCAGTTCTCAGTTGATAAGTACGCAGTGTTTTGTTACGTTTGTTTTAGCTTTACGTGAACTTTTCCGATGAGGAAAACGTATTTTAAACAAAAGTGTGTTTAAAACAGAGAGAGTAGAATAGTTGCCAGGATGCCTGATTTCATTTGTAATACTTTCCCCTTGAGAAAATTGTTTTCCTGTTCTAACCAAGAATCCCAGGAACATGATCCCTCACTGAGAAATCCAGGCTCCCCACTTCCCCATCCCTGCACCCCGCCTCTGGTGCCGTTAGCTTCTCACCTGCCGAGCCAGGTACCCGGCAACCCGGAATCAGTTTGTGTTGTGTGGAGCGTGACACTAAAAAGGCCACTGCTCGCGGTTCGGGACCCGTTAAGTTACCCTCACTTTTCTTTATGGTTGACTCAGTTGGTACCAAAGGTCTCTAAGCACATGCCCATGACTGTTCATTGGTCTCTAGGCCTGCCATGTGGTCAGTATTTGCCATAGAGAAACTAGGCCTTGGGTGTTGGGAATGAAGTGACTGAGTGTTTATTTTGTAGGTGTGGGCTGGGGAGGTGCCTGTCGCTGGGCCAGTGTCAACAGAGGAGAGGGCCCCTGTGCAGGCAAAAGGGAACTCCTTCTTCACAGCTGTCACACGTGTGCGAGGACCCAACCGCCCCTTTAAGATAGGATCGCCCCAAGTGTTCCCGGATGTGGGTGTGGAGGTCCGCATGACCTCTGTCATGTCTGTTGTTGGAGAGGGTTAGGCTGCGGAGGGCCCGTGCTGGGGGTGCCACACACAGGGGTAGCACGATGCCACCATCATTCGGAGGGGGTTGCTTCCTCCAACAGAGTCAGGAGCCCTTTTTGTTTACAAGGAAGGAGGCTGATATCTGCTTTTAAACCAAAGCACTTATCTACTGTTGCCCAAGGAAGGTACTGAGCAAGGACTATCATTACTGCGGAGGTGGGAGAGGGGGTGGGGGAGGGGCTGCCCGGGAGCCCTGCACATGGTGGATGGGCCATGGCAGACGGAGGAGGGAGCTCTGTACCTGAGATTTGGTGATGACCAGCCACGGCTGAGAAACACAAAACCGGGGGACAGAGACCGCACAGATCCTGTGGTGTGTTCTGCCTTCCTTCCTAAATGGTTTGAACTCCCTTTACCTCAAACACATGCAAGTTCAAATGAGAGGACAGAACCACATTACGAAGCCAGCTCTAAAGGCCTTTAGGTGAACTGTCTTCTTGGATCACTGATACGTCATATGGCTCCTCAAGCAGTGAGCTCAGTACTCAGTTACCTTTCTCTGCTAGGAGACTGTCCCGCACACTCCTGCAAGCATGGGCTGTGGCGTCTTCATAGTGGTGGACTTCCAGACACATGAAGAATATATGTAGATTTTATAGATTTTCCCCTGCCTGTGATGAGATGCAAATGCCCTGTGATAGTGGTATGTTTTTTAAAGTCTTAAAAATTTTTTTTTAGAGAGAGAAACATTGATGTGAGAGAGAAACATCAATTGGCTGCCTCTTGCACACCTCTACTGGGTATCGAACCCACAGCCCAGGCATGATGGATGAGGTTGTGGCTCAGTGGGTGAGTAAATTCCATCCCATACACCAAAATGTTTTGGTTCATTTGTCTTAAGAACAAGCAGTAGGGTTTACCGTTTTACAGTTGGGAAAATTCTTACCCCCCAAATATACATGCCCTCCCTAGGGTTATTTGTGGCATTTAAATGTGAATAATCCTGTTTATTACTGTTCTGTTTTTACACTTGATCTTAGCCAAAAGGCCGAGAAGCGATGTTCTGTTTTTAATGGTGATTCAGAGTTGATGTCATCATCACTGTTTGTGAGCGTGTTTGCCAGGCTGTCTGGAGGGGAAGGCTGGAGCAGAGTTCTTTGTTCTCTGATCTCTTTAGATGGAAGTGAAAAGGACGCTATTTCTTTGCTTTCAGCCAGAGACTCCAGCGCCCTTTCCCTCATGATCACGAATCCTAGGTTGTAGTATAATTTGCACAGGATTTAAAACATCCCTTAACCATCGGGAACATGTAACCTGTAACAAGCATTCGTCTCACCGGCAAAATTGTGATACGAACCTCAGCTCGAGGCCCGGTACTCGTGTTCCCGAATGCATTATTCTCATGTCAGCCGTTAATAAACCCCCACTCGCAGCACACCCTCCACGCAGGAAGTACCTTCTCATGTGTTTTAGAAAGTGGAAGGACGGAACAGGCATTTTGCAGAAGATAAAACTGTAACAGTCACGTAAAGATGTTTATTTTACCTTCAGTGGTCCTATGGGGCAGGCATGTTAAAAATGACTATGAAATACCATTTCACACTTATTAGATTAGCAAACATTAAATCGGCTCACGGTTCAAGTGTGTGATGCAAACGAGCTGTAGAAACTACTGCCATTTAGAGAACGATTTGGTCCCGTCTAATAAAATCAAAACCCAGCGCGGGACTCCTAGGTACACGCCCTGTACTGTCTCTGGAACGTGTGCATAAGGACACAGGTGGAGGATGTTGACTGTAGCACGGTTTGTAGTAATAAAAGATAGAGGCCCCCCGAATGGATCTCAAAAAGGATCTGGATAGTTAAAGTGTGGTATAAATTTGTTAGAACCTAACAATGAAAATGAATGAACCAGATCTGTATATAAAGCTACATGGATGGGTCTCTAAACCACAAAGTTAAATGGAAAAAAAACAAACAAAACCCACAGCAAAATATATAAAGGCGATGCATACTCATAGTTGTTAAAAACATATGGAACAATACTGTATTTGGTGAGTGAATGAGCATGAGCAACATGGAAATATGGCCGCAAGAAGGAGCCACGCCCAGTTCATGAGATTGGCTGCCTCTTAGGAAGGAAGGGAGGGTTAGGGTTAGGGTTTGGGTTCGGGTTCGGGTTAGGAGGGGAGGGGAGGGAAGTCGTGCAAGGAGATTTCCTCTTTATCCGTAATATTATGTTTTAAAAACCCGCAGCAAGTGTGATGCAATGTTAATGGTGGCGCTAGTTTCATAATTTCATTTTGCTTTTGTGTTACTTTTTAAAAAATTAACAGATGGTAAAGCGAAGGCCTGCATCCCTAGGAGAGAATGCTGCAGCTCTCTGTATGGGAAGGCTCCCTCTTTCATTGATGTCCCTTTAGCCAGTGACGGCAGTGAATGGTGGTCCTTTCACACTTGGGAGGATGAGGCCAAGTGAGTTTCGCTCAGACACTTATTAAACTTCGTAGAGAATGCTGTCACCCACCTGCCTGCATGGGTCACCATGTCCCACTCTTCCCAGACGTTCACAGGCAGACTTCCTTTTGCCGAGGCAGCACGGAGGTGGCTAGCTGATGGTTCCAACCTGGCCACCGTGAGCAGGTGATGAAGTCCCTGCCGTACACATAAGCGAAGGCCTTTGTGTATTGCAGCCATGGACACCAGGTCTCATGCCCCAGGGGGTTCTCACCACCACCGGGGGCTCAGCCATGAGGAGAAGTTTCAGTAAGTTTCACTCCAGTGACTGCAACGTGTGACCGTCTACCAGGGCTCTCTGCTAATCTGAGCAAGTTTTATGCGGCTGCTACACTCTGCTTTAGTTCCGTCTGCCCTTAGGCAGTGGCTCGGAGCTTGGTCTATAATCTGGGGATATTTGCTGGGCGTGCCTTCCGCTAGTTTAGGTGAGCAGGGCACCATAGGTCAAAGATACCTCCCTGCCCTTGCTCTTAGGATGTCCTCAGGAAGCTATTGTTGTCTGTAGACCAACACTGCCCCCTGGCGTAAAGCGGGTGAAGCTGCAAATCTCTGGGACACTGGGATTTCCGTGGGAGGGGGGTGGATGGAGGTACAGCCAGGGCTAAATTTTTTTAAATTCAAAAACTACGTAGATTAGTAACTCATCCTAAAATTATTTATGGCATACTCACTTTGTGTTGGGTCAGGGGCATGTGGTTTTGCCCTCGTGATAGGTTCCGCTCATATACGCTTTTGGTTGAGTCACTTAGATAACTGAGGATCAAGTGCCCGGAAGACTAACAATAGTGACAAGAATAAAATCACCTTTGATTTTTTTCTGTTTCTTTTATTCTCTGAAAAAAGCTCTGGCCCCAAAGTTAGGTGGCTCCCAGGCCCATCCTGGCTTTGCTGTTAGTGTTGTCAATGACCTTGAATGATTCACTAATTGCTGTGCAGCTCATTGTTCCGCAACATAAACATCCTACCTTCCATGACTTCATTGACGAGATATTGTAATGAGATCATCATGGGAGACATTTTTGGTTTCCTGAGTGTTAGGAAAGCTTGGAATGCCATTAAGTATAAAATTACTTTGAAAACCTTCACTTTTTGAAACTTTTAAAACTTCAGCTCCCTAGTGCGTTTTAGTCACTCTTCCCGGAATAATTACACGGAGAGGGAAGAAGCCCAGCCATCTGTGGCTCCTGCTCGCCTTCCCTGGAGGTAGCACTTGAGAAGATAATGATTTATTTGAGGTGTTGTTAGTCCCACTCCGAAGGAGAATGGATGGCGGTTTCTCCTTGTGCCTAAGGCCCATCTGCTGATGGGTGCGACTCATTAGACAGGAACACGTGGGCATGCGTGTGCCTGGTAGTCACAGAGCAGAGTAAGGGAAGAGTTATACTGGTGTGATGGTGGTGGTGGTGGTGGGGGGGGTGAACTCTGTGACACTGTCACAGTGGAGGAAGGGGAAAGCCACCTGCATTTCGTGTGTAGGTGGAACATCCCTGTGACTAGATGAGTGCTGCCCGTTTGACTTCAGATGACCGCAGGACCCGTGTAGGTGCTCTGGGGCAGAAGATCCAAAAGTGATCTTTTTGCAGTTCATGCATCACCTGTTCCTCACGGGGCCCCTCCCATGGTGTTTAGCACAGTGCCAGAAAGTATCGCTATGAGGGAAACATCCGTTGGTTGCCTCCCATGTGTACCTGCAACCCGGGGATATGCCCTGACTGGGAATCAGTGGCACTTCACCAACTGAGCCACACCGGCCAGGGCTAATTTAAAAAAAAAAAAAAAATATATATATATATATATATATATATATATATATATATATATATATATATATATATATATTATTGATTTTTTTATAGAGAGGAAGGAAGAGGGATAGAAAACTAGAAACATCAGTGAGAGAGAAACATCGACCAGCTGCCTCCTGCACACACCCCCCCCCACCAGGGATGTGCCCGCAACCAATGTACATGCTCTTGACCGGAATCGAACCCAGGACCTTTCAGTCTGCAGGCCGACGCTCTGTCCACTGAGCCAAACCAGTTTTGGCAGGGCTAAATTTTTTTAAATTAAAAAAAAACCTGTGTATTATTAGTAAGTCACCCCCCAAATATTTATGGAATGCTCACTTAGTGCTGGTAAGGGGCATGTGATCTTGCCTACGTGATATGGTTTCACATCCTCCTGGTGGCATGAAGCCATGGCCCTGTGTGCTCAGTTGGGATGTGTGTGCACACACGTGTGCATCGAGTGGGCAGCGGAATCCTTGTGAAGGGTGGTGGAGGGTAGACACCTATGTACAGGTTAAACAACGGTGAAGACCAAAGCTTATATAAGGGGGTATCTATCTCTGGAATTTTGAATTTCTTTAAATTGCATTATTAGTTTTTATATTATATTTTAAAATACAACCTAGTCAGGTACATATTCTGCTTACCTGCTTTAACAAAGCACTCTTGCTTGTGTGGTGTGTGTGTGTGTGTGTGTGTGTGTGTGTACACTGTTTTTGGAGACATGGAACTGTGCCACAAAAAGTCTTCATGTTTAGATTGTGAATTCAAGGCCACGACCCTCCTGGCCGCTGGTGACTGCTGTCTGGACCGAGGCTCCAGTGCGGAGGAGGAGAGCGGACATGCTAGTCCTCAGACCAGCAGGCGCTGTTTTCCCTGCTCCCCTGTGTGACCACGGGGTGCAGCGTGCTCAGCACGTAGGAGGGAACCCCTTGGGAAAGCGGCAGGTGCCTGACCAGCGTGGCAGCTGATGGCTTCGTCAGTAGTCCATCACGAAGCTCCCTCTTAGCACTTGCCTCCTTTGTTCCTCCGATGTCTGGCTTCTGTGGCTCGTAAACACACAAAAGCGAGAAGCAGATGCCCCGGCTCTGAGCTCGTGGATTGCGTTGCCCGCACAGCTGGTCTTGTGTGTTTGCTCCCCCAGCTCTACGTGGCCACGGAGGCCATCCTCATCGCGCTCGTGGGGGCCACGCCCTCCTACCGCTGGGACCTGGCCGAGCTCCTGCCCAACCAGAGCCACGGCAGCCAGCGGGCCGGGGAGGACCGGGCGCTGGGCGACTGGCTCCTGAGGGCCAACGGCAGCGAGCTGCGCAAGCACGTGCACTTCAGCGGCAGCTTCACCTCCATCGCCTCCGAGGTAAGCCCGGGAGCGGGCGCAGGGGCACAGACACCGGCCGTGGTGATCACCAAGTCCAAACGGAACCACTTCTTTGTCCTGTTGGTTTAAATTTCAGCCACATCTTCAATAACTTGCTAGAACGTTTGAGAGTTAAAGGAGGCTATTCTATGAAAGCATATTCTTTTTCCTGCCTTAGTAAGATACAAACTCCAGAAGAGCTGCACTTTGATGATAGTATCCTTTGGAAAGGTGAAGTAAGACTTCCAAGTTGCTTTATTAATGACACAGAAATTAACGAAGTAGCGAGAAGTGAAATGACCCACCGGCGACGCCCATGGTTCATGTTGAAGTTCAGTCCCATGTGCAGGCCACGCGGGGCACCTTGCACAGCCTCAAGTACAAACGGCCACCTCGGTGGGCAGGAAGCCTTATGCTCAGGTGGGGCTTTGCTGGCCAAGGAGGTTCTTACAAGGACAGTCCCTTCAGAGCCAGCGGAGGGAAACAAGCTGAGCTGGCAGCTGGGTGGAGAGAAACCCTGGGATGAGAGGGCAGGGCCCTGCTCAGCTGGAAAGCACCCGTACTGGCTGTTAAAATGCTAAAATACCGTGTCCTGTGCCTGTTCCCCATAGCTCTCCATTTGCTCACCGCCATGGAAGTCCCCCTCCCCATCTCCCATTCAAAAAATAATTTTTATTTATTTTTTTTTGTTTTTGTCATGATTGTGTATTGAATTTTGTCCCATACATCAATTTAGATTTGTGATGTGATGATCATGTGATTTTTCTTCCTTAGCTTCTAACATGATGGATTATAGTAATTGATTTTCAAATATAGAACCAGCCTTGAATCTCTGGGTAACATATTTTTATATATTGCTGAATTCTATTTGCTATTATTTTGCTAAGGATTTTGGCTTCTATATTCATGATGGATATTGGACTGTATTTTTCTTTTCTTGTACTACCTTTGTCTGGTTTTTGTATCAGGGTAATACTAATGTCATAAAATGCATTAAGGATTTCTATTTTTCTGGAAGAAACTGTGTAGAATTGGTGTCAGTTTTTTAAGCAGTTGGTAGAACTCTCCATTGAGATCATTTTGATCTGTAGATTTCTTCTTGTGGAGTTTTAAAATTATGAATTTAATTTTCTTAATAATTAGAGGGCTACGTATTTAAATGCTCTGTTTTGTATTGTGAGTTATGGCAGTTGGGCTTGTCAAGGAATTGGCCCATTTCATTTAAATTGTCAAGTTTCTATGTGTAGAGTTGTTCATACACACACACACACACACACACACATGCACACAAAGGAGCATTGCTTAGCCATAAAAATAATGAAATCTTGCCATTTGTGGCAACATAGATGGACCTAGAGTATTGTGCTAAGTGAAATAAGTCAGGCAAAGACAGAGACATTATGATTTCACTTATATTTGCAATGTAAAGCACAAAACAAATGAACAAATAAAACAGAAACAGACTCCTAGGTACAGAGAACAGACTGGTGGTTACCAGAGAGGAGGGAGCTGGGAGGATGAGTCCAAAGAGGAAGGGACACAGAGAGACCAGCTTCCAGTTATGAAGTAAATAAGTCATGGAGAGGCCATGCGCAGCCTGGGGAATACAGTCAGTCATTCTGTAGCAACTGCGGAGAGAGGCGCTCACGAGACTTACAGTGATGATCACATCATAAGGCATAGAGATGTCGAATCACTGTGCTGTCCACCTGGACTAACATAATATTTTGTGCCAACTCTACTGTAATAAAAAAAAAAAACACAGTAAAAGTACAACTTAGAAAAAAATCTTATCAAGCCCAAATAAATGTACGGGTTTCCTGAAATAGCAAAAGAATAGCCAAGGAGAAGAGAATAAAATGAACGCTGACTCTGTGCTGCTCAGGGACCGCTGGGTGTTCAGCTCCCAGCAGCTGCTGCCCACGTGCTAACAGCACTGCCCCGTCCCCACAGACCCCAGGAGAGGCTTGTCTGCCTTACGTGTCAGTGCAGAATCCCACGTCCCCCAGTCATTTTACTTTATTCCAACGTACAGGTGAGGTGCGCCATCCTCACCCACGTGAGTGAGTGGCGCGTGTGTCCACACACCCTATCTCTGCCTTGTAGGCTGGAGCACTGATTGGGTGGCGTTGCAAGTCCTGGTGTGGTTCCAAGAGGCGGGGTGGATGGCTCCCTAGGGTCCTGCCGCCGCCCCCAAATATGCCGAGGCTGGCGGAGAAACCGTGGCAGAGGGAGGAGTAACGAGAACGGTGATCTGCTGGCAGCAGCGATCACCTTTGCTGCAGTGCAGTCGCACACCCAGCCCTCCGCCCACTCTCTTAGCCTTCATTCCTTCATGCCCTCTCTGGTGTTTCAGTGGCTCCTCAAAACCCCCAAGGTGGCAATATTAGAGCCGGGACCCCAACTTGTCATTAAGTTGGTAAATATCCTTAATGCACAATCTGTGGTACATAGATAATATGTGCTGCTTCCTGAACTTATTTGGCATAAAAGTGGAGTTAAAAAAGCAAGCATAAAGTCTTGTGGAAACTTTTAAACATAATTATCCAGATAGAGCCTGCAGAACTCCATAGTTGGAGATGGTGTTAAGAATACTCATTTTATATTTATTTACTTATTCTTTATTTATTTTATTTGTTATTGTTGACACTATTATGGATATTCTTCATCCTCCCCATCCCCGCTTTGCCCATGTCCACCCAGCCTCCACCCTCCATCCTCCCCTGGCCCTCACCACATGGCCGTCTGTGGCCATGGGCTGTGCATATATGTTCTGTGGCTGCTCTCTTCACCCTCTTTCATCCAGTCCCCCACCCCCCCTTCCCTCTGACATCTGAGAGTCTGTTCCCTGGGTCCCTGTCTCTGGTTCTGTTTTGTTTGTCAACTTATTGAAAACTCTCACCTGCCCCTTATTACATTCAAGTCAGGCCTTGCAGAAGTTATTCGTGGAGGGTTTGGGGAAGGGTGAATTATAAAAGGTTATGTAGATATGATTAACTTGGCATTAATGCAAAAAACAACAACACCCTCTCATTTAGGAGTCTTGACTATTTTAAAATGAGCTAATAGCCATGGGGGTGAATTGATGTAGTAAATTGCTGTCTGCCATATTCACATTATTCCCGAGCTCTGACTCATTGAGAAAGGACCAAATATCACGGAGACATGCAATTATCATGCTTAATTAATGTTTGCAACCAAAAAGAGTAAGGCTGGAATCTTCAATATCATTGTATTATAGATGTAACAACTGAAATTGATTGATTATTATCTTGAGATTAATATATTTTCCCAAGTCATACCCTGGGGTCAAAAGACAGAATAGCAAAACTATCGAAAAATGGACTGCAATAATTGCTTTAGGGGCTAATTTTTTTAATGTCTTGCTTCCTTACGCCTGTGCTTCTGCCTGTTCTAGACCTCACACTTCACCCATTAAGTGGTAATTCCGAGTGACAACTGTATTGCGTGAAGCGAGTTAGTTAATCACCATGAAATTGTTCCTGAAACACTCTGTCCCAGTTCTTCTTAATCACAGAAGACCTCGGAGCCCCTGATTTTCTCCCGAAGTGAGATTTTTTTCTGCCCCAAACGGGAAATATTTGGGGCAATAACACAGGACAGAGGGGGAATGAAGTGGAGTTAGAATTGTTATCAGGATACTTCCGAGTATTTTCCAGAACAGCCCCCAGCTCTCCAGCGGTACTGAGTGCCCGGGTCCTGCAGCTCGGCATGGGGAAGCTGCTGTGTGTTCAGCCCCGCAGCCCAATATGCTGACAAGCTGGGAGTGCGGTGGCACTCATAAATGACCTGCCTCCCATCGCAAGGCCTTAGGGGACAAGACGCTCCATCACTCAGCACGCACCCAGTCTTGTTTGCCCACCCAGCATTTGGCACTTAACCACCCTGGACCAGTTCCAGCGATAAGACTCATAATTCTCAAGAATGTACTTTTAACTATAAGAACTTTTTTTCTTTCTTCTTTGGGCCACTTCTGGACTTTGGCCTTGCCGTGTGAATACCTTTTTACCATTTATTTCTAGCAAAGCCGCCAATCTCTTTCTGAGTTTGTTCTCCAGGCTTCTTATTCTACTTAGCATGATGTCCTCCAGGGTCTTGCCTGTAGTAGCTTGCCAGGATTTTATTCCTTTTTAAGGCTGTATAATACTCCACCGTGTGAGCTCACCACATTCTGTTTATCTGTCCTGAGCCATTTAGGTCTGCTCCACTTTTGCCCACTGTGAATAGTGCTGCTACAGACATTAGCGTACAAATGTCTGTGTGAATCCCTGTTTTCAGTTCTTTAGCGTATCGATATATACTGGAGAAATGGAATTAGTGGCTCATACGGCAATTCTGTGTTTGACTTTTTGAGAAAAGAATTCAAGGGATTTAAAATCCATGAATCTGTTAGAGGAAAGGGATGTTTAGCTGTTGCCTCTTACATGTCATGGAGTTTGTTAATTTTCAGAGAAATGGAAACCCAGGGCTTAGCATGAAGGACATGGTCAGCACTAGCTCCCCCACACCATGTGGTGGGTGTGGATGAGTACTGTGGGAGCACATCGGAATAGTAATGGCTTCCAGCGTTTCTCCAGGCAAGATCTTCTTGCATGTCGGCCAAGATGGATGCTCCCCTGAGTTCTGGCTCACCGTGGCTAGGTTTGGGTGTACAAGTTTTGTTGTCCATTTGATTTTTTAGTAGCTAACTGAATCCACCCATCTTTTCAGCGACCTATATGTCTCTCGTGTTCTTCCTTCCTCCAGTGGTTTCTGATCGCCGACAGATCATACAAAGTCAGCGCGGCCAGCTCCTTCTTCTTCAGCGGCGTGTTTGTGGGCGTGATCTCCTTCGGGCAGCTCTCCGATCGCTTTGGGAGGAAAAAGGTCTACCTCACAGGTAAGCCACCGGAGTGTTCCTGAACCGAATGAGGACACATTTTCCGGAGGTTCCGGGGAATGGCCATGTGAACGCGGAACTGCCTTTTTATTGCACTGGCAAGAAGCCGAAGAGCAGCCAGCGTGGATTCGGCCAAGGTTTTCAGGTGGCCAGCTTAGGTGGCAAAGGCCAGGTATTGGCATTGAAAGCTTTTCAGAGATGATGGTGCTGTCACTCCCAAATTCTAACTTATGCCGGGTTCCTAAAGAGAGCAAAGATTGAGGCAGTCTCCTAGGTCCATTTCCTTCTATCTTGTGTTGTTAATTCATTTTGAATGGGCTCCACAGAACTCAGCGTAGCTCTCTTGACAAGCTGAGTATGAGCTAGGGCTGTGGTCGGCAAACTCATTAGTCAACAGAATCAAATAGCAGCAGTACAACGATTGAAATTCCTTTTGAGAGCCGAAAACCGACTTCTGCGCATGAGCCACAAAGTTTTAGTTGCACTGTACGTGCGCACCCGCACGTGGTATTTTGTGGAAGAGCCACACTCAAGGGGCCAAAGAGCCGCATGTGGTTCGCGCGAGCCGCAGTTTGCCAACTACTGAGCTAGGGTATATATTTGAGAGAGGAAGGAAGAGGAAAGAGAGATAGAAACATCCAATATGAGAGAGAATCATTGATTAGCTTCCTTCTGCATGCCTCACACTAGGGATTGGGCCTGCAACCTGGGCATATGCTCTTGATTGGGACCCTTCAGTCCACACACAGGCCAGCACTCTATCCACTGAGCCAAACTGACTAGGGCTGAAATAGAATTTAAAAAAAATTACTAGCATCTTTGATAGACAGAAATCAACCTGTGACAAAGAAAGAAAACCTCAGTTTTTGTTTATGATTTGTAAGAGAAACCTTTTTTAAAACAAACCGTCAGAAAAGCATCCGTTAACTTACGTTTGCAAACTAATGAATGGAATTGTTTACTTCCACCAGGTGCTGTTTCCTGTGGGTCATTGAACGCTGTTCCTCTCTTTCTAGGTCTTGCGCTGGACATCTTATTTGCTATCGCCAATGGGTTTTCGCCCTCCTACACGTTCTTCGTGATGACCCGCTTCCTGGTGGGCGTGATGAATGGGGGGATGTCACTGGTGGCCTTTGTCCTGCTGAACGAATGTGTGGGCGCCGCCTACTGGGCACTCGCAGGTACTGCTGGGGTCCACGGAGATGGGGAGGTGGTGAGCGGCTTCTGAAAACTCTGCAGGGAACCAGTTTAACCCTAGAGTCTAAGTATGCACTTGGACTTGAAATGCTCTGTCCAACCGTTAGATTTGCATTCCTGAGTTTGTGCTGTCTGGCCGTGAATGAGTCACTTGAATTCCACTGTAGAAAGTCTGCCTCTCAGGCGGTGGGCGGCGAGCTTGCCCCCCGCCCTCACAGAGTGCCTCCAGATGATCGGGAGAGAGGGATGTCCCTGAAGGGCATTCACTGCCCCTACACTGCCAGATCATTCGGATTCTTCCTTTCCTGTTGCAACAGTGGAACCAGAGAGTTACCAAGTTCATGGTAGAATCACAGTGAGTGTGAGAGCTCCTGGAAAGCCCATCCACTGACCCGCACCCAGGACCGCAGGACTCTGGCAGCACCGGGAGCTCTTGAGATCCAGGCCATCCCCAGGGTTCTGTCCTTGGTCCTCGGGTCCCAGCTGGTTTCTCTCCAGCAGCCGGGCACGCCAGTGGGGCTGCAGATAGGCTACTGACCGGCCAGAGGGTGGGGAAAACTTGAATGCTCAGCAATAGGGGAGTGATTGGAGGTGGTCTAGTGGTTCACAGTAAAAATATAATTTGAAAAATTACGCTTGATTATAAAATAATGTTTGTAGTATGTCTAAAACGCTAAGTAAAGTATTTATAAGAAAGTTTAAGAATAAACCTAAAACATCCTTTTTGTTGTTGTTAATCCTCCTCTGAGATGTTTTTTCATTGATTTTTAGAGAGAGAGAGTGGAAGGAAGGGGAGAGACAGAGAGAAACATTGTTGTGAGAGAGATACATTGATTGTATGTCCCACGCATGCACCCCGACCAGGGCCAGGGGTTGAGTCTGCAACCTAGTTCGTGCTCTTGACTGGAATTGAAGCTGGGACTCTTCAGTCCCCAGGCTGATGCTCTATCCACTGAGCTAAACCAGCCAGGGCTGGAGCTTATATTTTCAGCAGGAGAGGCAGAATAGATTGGAGGTCATTTCAGAAAATCGTTAAGTCCAGTGAGGAAAGGGTCTCATCCTGTGGCCTCCTCTTCCTGCCTACACAGTCGTCAGTGGATGCTGGCCCTCGGAACCGAGTGGCAGAGGCCTCATTTGTGGGAACCAGGTGCTCTCGGATGCGCCGTAATGAGCCTGTAATAGCTATCGATTATCTTGATTTCCAGGGAAATCACATTCGCCCATGCCCCTGCTTATTGGGCCACATGTTCCAAACTCTGAGCCTCGGCTCTCCCTTTGGTTCCCCTTTGCCTCACCAGGCCCCCGTTTACTTGTCGCTATTTTCAGTTACAGCTTGATAATCTACGAACAGAATAAGGCGTTTGTGTTACAGGATTTTTGTAGAGAATTTTTGTAACAGGCTCAACAAAGCCCATTGCTTTGGGATGCCCACAGAAGCCCATCTTTCCTTAGGAGGGCGATAGGAGAGAGGAACGTAGGCAATGCAATCTCCCCAGTCAGACTGACCGGGTTCAGGTCCCGGCCCTGCCACCCGGGCATGCCACCCGCAGCACCCAACCGTCCAGCTCTCCATAGATGGCTAATTATTGTCCCTGCGGTCTAGGACAACATATGCAAAAGGCTTACGGCTCATTAAACCCTAGCTGTTATATAAACAGTAGCTACTTCTGGTATGTTAGCGATAACAGGTATGGAAAGTATGACAGAGGAATAGACTTTGCAAGTATATTGTACAAACCGGTGGGTTTAATACCCACCTCAGCATTTATTTTAAAAAATACGGGTTCCTTAACAATACTGTGGTTGATTTTTTTTTTCCCCTATTAGTGTGCTGACAATAATCCAGGCTTCATGGCGCTTATATTCTACTTGGGAGTGATAGACAAGAAAATAGATATGAAGTGTCATATATGATGGTGATGAATTAAGTTGGGGAGGGCAAGAGGGAGGACTGAGAGGTAGGTTGTGATTTTTAGATAAGGACTCCAGGGACGGCGTCTGTGACGAAATGAAGTCCCGGTATTGCATGACCTAAACACCTCCTGGTCACTTAGCAAACAATGTTTCCAAGCCTCGGCCACCTCGGGTCAGGTGCGTGCCAGTCCAACAGGCACAGCCTTCAAATCCGTCTTGTCCACATGGGGGCTGTATTTTTCATCCGTCCTTCTGTCTTTTTCACCTGGGTGCTGGCCTCCCTTCCAGTTTATCGTCTGAGGCTCGATGTTTGTGTGGGTTTCTCTTTGCCGCTGACATCTCAGGAGGAAGGGACTGGCTCTGTGACTCGGGTTGGGAATGGGCTGCAGGCGGGGCCTCTCCAGTCACAGGTCTCTCTCTCCCCCGAACCAGGGTCCATTGGCGGCCTCTTCTTCGCAGTCGGCATCGCCCAGTGCGCCCTGCTGGGCTACCTCATCCGCTCCTGGAGGAGCCTGGCCGTGCTGGTGAACCTGCAGGGCACGGCGCTCTTTCTCTTATCTTTGTAAGTATTATAGTTCTCGCGCGAGGAGCTTAAGCTCGGTCAGCAGGAGGAATGCCTTCCGAGGGTCAGTGAGCAGGAATGTGCCTGAACTGACTCAGGTGAAGAACTAAATTCCACAAGCGCTCCCATGCGGGGCAGCTTCTGGGAAGAGAGGCGCTTAAATTATAATAATTCAGAATGCAGGTATCCCTGTTTAAAGTAGCCTCTCCGAAAACTGCATTTTAGCCTTCAGGTGATGACAGCGAGGTCCAATTTCGTTTTAACCCGATGCCTCAAACTTACTGGGGGAATCACAGTGTGGGCTGGGTGTGCGACAGAGGAGGATTTTTAAAAAATCTATTTTTATATAAAAGGCCTATTCATAATAACATATAATGGCAACGTATAATGTCAACGATTCACCTTACAGATGAGTGTCATTTCGGGGCCTTTGCGTGGGGATGCGGGAAAATCCTATGGGAGGAACCCTCAGCTGCGGTGCATGGGCTGAGCAGAGTTAAAGGACGAGTCCTGGTCAGGGCAGGGTTTACGAACGACTCACCCACAGTGCTGGCTTGGTGCTCTCAACCTCAGCTGCTTCCCCAGAAGCGTCCTGGACCTTCTGACAGGGCCTCTCTGGAGATGTCAGACTCTCAGTGCAATCATCAAGATCTTGGGGATAAATGCAAAGTTCAGGCCATGGAACCAGCTTGCTTCTGTGGGACAGTGAGGGATAGCGGTGGTAGAATTCTCACCCAGCTAGATCTTTAACTTAGCAGCTCTTTACTCAGGTTCAAAAGCAAGTACGGAAAGGAATCGTGCAGAAATAGTTGACCTCTATTTCAAGCGGCACATTTACTAAAGACTTAGGCAGGCAGCATACATAGCACCTCACTGCGCCCACGGTCAGGTGATCCGACGGATGATCGGCACACCTGACGTCCAACAGAACAATGTTTGACTTGATCATTTACTTGTGTGTAAGCAGTAATAACCTCATGGTGATGAGCACGGAGGTGGAGGGATTTTTCAGGATGTTGTAAAAGCCCCAGGCCCTGCTTTTGTTGACAGTTCAGCGTTGTACATGAATATTCCCTCCCCAGTGGCAGAGAAAGACCCTGGGAAAGACCCTGCCTTTTTGTTTCCACGGTCTTTCCTCCCTGCACCTGCTACCCTGCCAAAGACACAGGGGAGACCGAGCGGGCGACTTCACAGCTGCCCAGGCTAAGGGGAGACCTGATCTATTAATGGAAACGTAGATTAGTGATTTATACAAGTTTCATTTTAGGCCAATCAGGTCCAATTAGATCCGAAGGTTCTTGATGTTGTGCACAGTAAACAAGGCTTTGTGCTCTGGCCACAGTTTTGTCTTTGAAAAGTCCTCTAGGGGCGCGTGCAGAACTGGGAGGAGAAGACGTAAGTGCCCGGCCAATGTGGCTCAGTCGTTGAGATTCGACCTATGAACTGGGTCATGGTTCCATTCCCGGTCAGGGCACATGCTGAGGTTGTGGGTCCCAGTGTGGGGCGTGCCTGGGGGCAGCCAATCAGTGATTCTTTCTTATCATTGATGTATCATCTCTCTCTCCCTTTCTCTCTAAAATCATATATATATATATATATATATATATATATATATATATATATATATATATATGTAATGTCTGGGTCTTAAAACTGTTGGAAGATATCAGTGGCGGTATAAATGTCCAGTACCTTGTGCTGTAGTAGATAGGAATTGCTGTTGTGTAGCTGGAAGTTAATCAGGAAGTCACTTTTGTTTTATAAGATCTTGGGGGATTTCAGGAAATATTCTCAGCTGCTTTGAATACTTTGAAGCAGTAAATGCTCCAAAGTAACTGCACAGTGATAAAGCCTGTTTAATTTTTATGTGTGGCCGTCACATAATCTCCGCCTTCATGATCACGTATCACTACCTTTAAAACACTTTGTACGAATTTATTTTTTTCTGATGAGATAATAAAGATTTTTATCTTCTTTATGGGGCTTTTCGAGAACTCAAAACGCCTACTATCTCCACAGTGTTATTCTGACAACACCTGGCTGTGACTGAGGCCCACAGCTCTGACCCGTGCTTCATGAAGCATTGGTATATTTAGTGCTATAGTCTGACCTCGCCATTCACATTAAATTGTCTTAAAGGTAACTGCATGCCTGTCTCACTGCTATTTTGGAAGCGTGGTCTCCGTTTCCGTTCATAGATCAGATCGCCTCTTAGCCTGGGCAGCTGTGAAGTCACCCGCTCGGTCTTCCCTGTGTCTGTGCCAGTGACAGCTTTAGGCCTGCGGTGGAATCCGTGGTGGTGAGGGAACCGAGCACAGCCTAGGGGGATTGCCTCGGCCTGTGCACGTGTGCCGGTACGAATATACAGCCTTTAATGACGTCTCTTTCAGATTCATTCCTGAATCACCTCGTTGGTTATACTCCCAGGGTCGACTGAGCGAGGCGGAAGGGGCTCTGTACCTCATCGCCAAGAGGAACCGCAAGCTCAAGTGCACGTTCTCACTCACTCATCCGGCCAACAGGAGCTGCAGGGGGTCGGGGAGTTTCCTGGACCTGTTCCGGCACCAGGTCCTCCTGGGGCACACTCTGACCCTGATGTTCATCTGGTAACTATAGCCAAGTGGGATGGGGGTGAGGGTGTTGGAGTGAGGGAGTGTGGGGTGTGGATATCCAGCTCCTGCTGAGAAAGAAGGTCTGTTGGTAAATTGGTCGTTCAGGGTAACATTTATTTTTCCTCTTTTGTCATCACAAAGCTGTTTTCACAAAACGAGGCCCCTCCCTGAATGCCTGGCATTGGCTTCTGTTTCACACCCTCCCACTCAAGGAGGAAAGGACGGTGCCTGAAAGCAGGTTTACCGGACTTGATGGCAGAAACACATCTTTGCTCCTGAGATATTTGATGCAAACATTTGTCACTCAGCCAGAAAACAAACAAAACAAAACACCGGACTCTGCTCAGTGTGGCTCCGTCGGTCGGTCGGTCGGAGCTTCACCGAAAGGTGGCGGTTTGATCCCCTGTCAGGGCACGTACCTTGGTTGCAGGTCCGATCCCCTGTCAGGGCAGGTGCAGGAGCAGCCAACCAGTGTTTCTGTCTCTCTTCTCTCCCTCCCCCTCTCTGAAATCAAACTTTTAAAGAAGGAAAGCAAGCACGCGTAGCAGAAACGGAAGTGTATATAGGCTTTGGTGTTGGCACCGAGCGGTGGGATGGCACATTGTGCTTGGGCTGCACCCTGTGTGGCATCGCCACTTGGCACTGGTGGCCCGTCACTGTTTCCTGGGCCAGTGGGAGCCTGGGAGTGTGGCGTGAGGGACTCACACCCCCGTGCAGATCAGTGAATGAGTGGGTCGCCTCTCTGAAGCTGATTTTCCAGTTGGGTTGATTCCAGCCCGCCGCTCAGCGTGCTCTCAGCATCCGTGTGCATTTCCGTGAAGAAGCTGTGGCGAGGGGAGGGGCGGTGGGCAGTGCATGTGGTTTGTGGGTGTTTAATGGTGTCCATTCTGCTGGTGCCATAGATGTTGTCTGATCCAGCGCCGGGTATCAGCACCGGGTTTCCTGGCCCGGAGGACTGTGTGCTGTGGTTTGTACGTGTTGACCACGAAGGCTGCCATGGACACCCACATCGTCCTTTTGGGGATAAAGGAGAATCATTTTATAGGAACGCGATTTTGTGTCCAAAGCGAAGGGGAATGGGAGGATCGGGAATAAGAAGCTGTGGCGATATTTTTCTATCCCAGGATTCTCTTTACTGACCCACCTAGCGCTGGCCGTCGCCTGTGTGTAATCAGGGCCCGGTCACACCGATTCCCCCTCCCTCCTCCCGGTGCCCGTGGCCTGGCACAGGTGCTTGGCACGTTGCACGAAGGACAGGAGCGTGGAGACGTGGAGATGAAGGGGACCATAAACAGCATAGCAGACCACGCAGCTGCTGTCTGAGGTCCTCCCTGCTGTAACAGCTCACAGAGGTCCTCCCTGCTGTAACTGCTCACAGAGCAGGGCAGGTGCCGTGGGCTTCACACGCTCTCCCTGCGTGTGTCCCACAGACTGACCCGCCCTCGGCCTCAAAGGAGCCCCTGCTTCTTGGGGAGTGCTTATATCTGTCTTCAATGTTCTATTTTTTTCGAGGCATAGTAACTTTGAGCTAGAACATAAACAGGTGAGAAAACACACAGACTGGACTCAGAGCCAGGGGACCATGTCCCTGCTTATATCATGTCTCATACAACCGGAGGGACAAATGAGATTCTTTCCCCCGGGCGCAGAATTGTAAAATCCACAATAACAGAGACGTATCCTTGCACATACCGGTCCTCCTGGAAGGTGCTAGAACACTCTAGACCCTTCCAGTGGTCGCTGCCATTAAAGATAGCCTCCTGTGATGACTCCCTGTGTTAGCATCTGTTTCTGGGCTTATCTCCCTCCTTGGTGCCTTTTTAAATGGTCGTTTGGCGCCCTGACTATACTGTTAAAGATGGCCTGAGCGTTCTAGATTTTGTTTGAGGCCCGTCACGAGGATTGCAGTGATTTTAATCACTGTCCGCACCCAGCACAGTGACCGGCTCTGCCATCAAGGAAACAAGCAAGCGAGCCCGCCTTGGGGCTGAGGCCTCCTCTCCCCTCTCTGTCACCCCCAGCTGGTAACTCAGTTCCTCCGGTGCCCGGAGCTGGCTTTGCTCACTCACGCCCTGGCTGCTACCATCACAGCTTGGTTTAAATGGGCGTGTGTTTCCCTGGCTGGGAGTCCTTCCTGGGCACTTCTGCTTTCTATGCAGCGTAGACACACACGGGCACCTGCAGCCCGTTAGGAGCAGCAACCTGGAAGGGCAGGGCCTCCACGGCAGGGAGGAACGATTTTAAAATATTTCGGCAAACTGCACAGGCGGGTCCAAACGCGTTTGCTTTAGAGCAGGTAGGACCTCAGGTGAGCAGCTCCCGTGCTGTGTGCTCAGGCTGGCTTCGAAAGGTTCCCTGCATGCCCACGTCTCCCAGCTCCCATCCTTTGTCCGGGCGGGGTGCTAGGGGACAAGGGAAACGGACAGCTCGGTGGCACCTGCGTCCTTACCTGTGATGTCCTGGCTGCCACACTGCTCGTGGCCCTTAGTACATGCGTGACAGCTCTGCCCAGTAAGAAGCCCAGGAGGTAGCTGCTACTCGGGCTCCCTGGCCAGAGAGGCATGTCCAGCTGCAGGTCCCTTCTCCCTCCTCCCTTCTCCCTTCTCCCTCCTCTCTCCCTCACCCCTCCTTCCTTCTTCCTCCTCCTTCCTTCTCCTCGTTACTGTCGCCCAGGGCTCTTGGGCCACTCGGCGTGTTGGCAGGGATGGACAGGAAGCTTTCCCTTTCTCTTTGATCTCATATGAGCTTCAGCTCATTAGACTTTGTCTAGGGAAGGCCAGAGGGAGCCCGTGGGAACTTCCCCGTCAACGGCACTTGTCAGCGCGCATTGCGACATCATAACACATGGCGGCCTTGCAAGGCCCAGCGTTCTCGGTGGCGGAGGCATGGGCGGTACACAGAGCGTGTGCACGGGTCCTGTAGCCTCATTTCAGGGGGTATTCTCTTTGTTCTGCTCTATTTTGCTTTAAGAATGCAGTTTCCTAGACACAGACGTTGCCATGAATCCCTTCCCTGTGGCTGAGGGAGCCCCGACCTGCTGCTTCAGCATGGAGCCTGGCTTAGCACCTGGCTCTGGTTCCTGGGAAGGGGAGGTGGGCTCAGGGCGGGGACAGTGCCTGCTGCCTCGGAGGTGTTTCAGCAATAACACGTAGGAGGTATTTCAGAGAGAAAGGGAGAGGAGAAGAGAGAGGTAGAAACATCAGTGATGAGAGAGAATCATTGATCGGCTGCTTCCTGCACGCCCCACACTAGGGATCGAGCCCGACACCCGGGCATTTGCCCTTGACCCGCATCGAACCTGGGACCCTTCAGTCCACAGGCTGACACTCTATCCACTGAGCCAAACGGGCCAGGGCAACAAGACACCTTTGCAAAGGGCCGTCACCAGTGGGTCATCTGCTTCCACCATCCCTGGCCGTTTCTCTCCTGTTCTGCGTCCGCAGCCCGTGCCCCTGCTGAGTGCCGGGTGGGGTGAGGGCTGGCAGGGGTTGGGTGCCAGTCATTTCTGGCCTGCACGTGACACTGGCGATCCAGTCACTTCTCAGCCCACGTCCTCGACGCCACTCTCTGTGGGCTTTCTCCTGGGACTCCTTTTCCAGAGTCATTTTGCTAACCTCACAGCAATTGCCTGAGGCAAGAATACTATAACTTGTATTAAATAAAGCAAGACTGGATTCCCCGTCTGCTATTCAGTGCAGAAATGCTGGTGAAAGGCCAAACCATGTTTTTTCTCTCAGCAAGCCTCGCCTGTGCTCCGACCCGCATCTGCACAAGTGGTTGCCAAGGCCCTTTATTCTTCGTCTTTTCCAGCTCGGGAATGTAGATGAGGACGGAAATGTGAGCGGGAGAGTCAGACCCACTGCCTGCGGCAGATCGCAGCACTCTGAGCCGCGCTGGGATCCGCGGCAGGTTCCCATGAGCGCTCCCTCTGTCCCCTCCCTCTTCCTGCAGGTTCGTGTGCAGCCTGGTGTACTACGGCCTGACGCTGAGTGCAGGCGACCTGGGCGGGAACCTCTACACCAACCTGGCCCTGTCTGGCCTCATAGAGATCCCCTCCTACCCGCTCTGCATCTACCTGATTAACCACAGATGGTGAGTGTGAGATTGACGTGTTACCCCCCCCCACACACACACACACACTCATATGTGTAAATCCCTAAATATGACTGTCTTTGCCAACATATAATATCTGTTAATTGTACCACAGTGATTAGAATTCTCTTCTGACTGAACAGTCAGGATTCATGTTTTGTACAGGATCTCTAGGCCTTCATGTTTACGAGTGCTTATGGGGGCTTGCCATCCAGGGTTAAAAGGTGTCATATCCCAATGGCTTTGGAGTCGTCTCTGTGTGACTGGGTTGTCCCAGCAGTGGGGTTGGTGGCGCCGTGCAGATAGAACCCCACCGGCCCCATCGCTGTTGTTGAATTTAGTTCAGGACAAAGAACTGGAGGAACGGAAAGGTGTTCCCCACCTCGTAAGGCCCGCGTGACTCGGTCGAGGGGAAGAGAAAATGAGCGTATGAAACAGGACGTGGAACAGGAAGGCTGGGGAAGAGGCAGATGAGGGGTCATGACCTCAAGAGAAACGGGCATTGCTCTCTGTCATCCAGGTTTGGTCGGAGGCGGACGTTAGCGGCGTTTCTGTGCCTGGGAGGACTGGCTTGTCTCGTCGTAATGCTTCTTCCAGAAAAGAAAGGTAGGCTTTCCGGATTCCCACTGAAGGGCTCCAAGCAGCACGTTTGCTACAATGAATCTCCCTCTAGCCGGGAGATTACCATATGCCAGGCTTCATTCCGGTGATTGCATGTTACCGAGCAATTGTGTGTGGTATAATGGGCCAGACTCTTGCCTCGCCTGAACTGCTCTCTGGGTGAATGATGTGCTTCGAGGTGCACTACTAATTCTTTCAGGCGATTAAGCTACCATCTGGGGTGTCTGGGCCGCAGCACCGTGCTGTTCGGGCTGCAGATTTGAGGAGGAGCGGGACCGCTCAGTTCCGTACGGAAAGGAGCTCCGTCCAGGGCCTCATGTCACAGCCATTCCAGCCCATCAGGAGCGGGACCTCAGAGTCACCGGGGCAGGTCAGAGGTGGCGTTGGCACCTCTCCTAATCTCCACCAATACTCCCAGTCATAAGAATAGCAGCAAAAAGCAGAACACGCACTGTTGGTGATGCTGGGCATTGCCTGAGTCTCATATGAAGTCTGAGTAAAGCATTTTTGAGAAACTGGTACTTTATATTCCGAGAGCTTTGCTATGCAAACAGCTTCAGAAAGGTCCCTCCAGGCATCTTTATGTTCCTTACCTGGGCCCATGTAGGAATTGTGTAGCAAGTTTTGTCCTCACCGGGGTTCTGGACTGGCACACCTGAGTCATGCTCCCTAAGTCCAGGAAAAAGCAAGGATGTCCATTTTACCACCTGTATGGAGTGTATACTGAAGTTACCAGCAAATACAGAAAGGGGGTACAGAGAAATGAGGAGGGATCCAAATTGGAAAGAAAGAAGTAAAACCCTTCATTCACAATTGTCTCCCTTGAAAATCTTAAGACTATTCCCCCTCAAAATCTAGAATTAATAAGTGAGTATAGCAAAGTCATGTGACACACAGTGGTATTTCTAGATATTAGCGACAATCAATTTAAAATTGAAACAAGACAATGCCATTTATAATAAAATAAAATACACAATATTTAGGAATATATTTTGTAAAATATATGTAAGACTTATAGAAAACTATAAAATGTAAAACATTGAAAAGATATAAAGACTAAATAATTGAACTGGTGGTAATAATAATAAAATAAATGAAGAGATTACTATAATCAAGAATCAGAAAATATTGTTTAACATGCCCATTCTTTCCCAGCCAGCATGGCTCGTGGTTGAGTGTCAACCTGTGAACCAGGAGGTCACAGTTCAATACTGCTCAGGGCCCAAGCCCAGGTTGCAGGCTTGATCCCTGATGCAGGAAGCAACCAATCAATGATTCTCTCATCTGTCTTTCTCTCTCTCTCCCTTCCTCTCTGAAATCAATAACAATATATTTTTTAAAATATCCATTTTTCCCAAATCAATCCATTTTCATCACAATTCCAATAAAATTCCAGCAGGCTTCAATGACAAGTTGACACCTAAAATTTTATGGAAATCCAAAGGAGCTAGAATCCCCAAACTAAAGTTAGAGGACTTACCCTATACCTGATTTAAAAAAAATTACGACTCGTTACATTAATCAAAGACTGTATGATACTTGCATAGGATTGGTTATATAAATAAGAGAACAGCATTGAGTATGAAATAGATCCTCATATATGGCCAGTTGATTTTTTTTATTTTTATTTTTTGAGAATGAGGTTGAGATTTTATTCACCTTTAGAAAATATCTAGTTATACATAGAGAAAATACACATGGTTAGTTGATTTTTAACAAAGATAAGTCAATTCATCGAAGAAAAGGTAATCTTTCAACACATGGTGGCAGGCCGATGGGAGTGCTCTGTGGGCATGTGGCTGAGCCAGGCTGCCCAGATGTGCCACAGCTGGAAGTGTCCGGAGCCTCACGGGGGAGGGGCACTTCGTCCAGCCTTGGATCTCGTGGGTGTTTAGATGGCAAGCTGTCTGTGACGCCCATTTTCAGAATGGCAGCCCCCGGCCTGTTGTGGAAGGGCAGTGCGTCTCCACACAGCCCTGAAGGATGCCCTCTGATGTGGGTTGAAAACAGACCTGGAACCATTGGCAATCAGGCACCTGTGCACATTCCTGTTTGCTTCCGTGCCGCCCAATACCTTTTCCTGACTCGCTCCGTTTTCCGGAAAATAATGGAAGATTTAATCCGCCCGCACTATTGGTTTAATTGAAGTTGGTAGCTAACAAGAGTCCAGATACAGAAGTCGGGGTAGATGCGCAGAGCAAGGAATCTTTTTCCAGAAGCACCGCGAGGCTTATCATAATAGAGCCGGTGCTTCAGATGGCAGACATCTTCTTCCAGAGAGCCTGGCAGGCGGAGCGGCCCAGATGGTCGGGCTGGCAGTGCTGGGCCGCGGTGTGCAGGCGCCATCTTTAAAGCAAATGAAGATTTATTTCCTTGTCAAGCAGCCGAGGTGAAACATATTGTAGAATGGAGTGCATGGCAGGCTTCCTCCTCACACAGGTTCTTTTCTCTGAATTAGTCCCTCTCGTGAGGATTTTATAGTGCATGGCAAGTAATATTTTTAAAACTGCACTCTATTGTAGGCAAATGCTAGTTGAACAATATCTACAAAATACCTCTTAAAATTAAAAAAATAAGTTAAAATTAAAAAATGAGCAAAAGAGATTTTCTATGCAGTAGGGTATACTTTTTAAAAAATATATATTTTATTGATTTTACACAGAGAGGAATTGAGAGGGACAGAGAGTTAGAAACATCGATGAGAGAGAATCATCGATCAGCTGCCTCTTGCACACCCCCTACTGGGGATGTGCCCGCAACCAAGGTACATGCCCTTGACCGGAATCGAACCTGGGACCTTTCAGTCCACAGGCCGACGCTCTATCCACTGAGCCAAACCGGTCCCGGCAGGATATACTTTTTTCTTTCACATGCTAAGTAAATGTATTTGCAGCCTGGCCTGTTTGGCTCAGTGGGTAGAGCATCAGCCTGTGGACCGAAGAGTCCTGGGTCGATTCCAGCCAAGGGCATGTACCTCAGGTGCAGGCTCCATCCTTCGCCCATGCAGGAGGCAACCAATCGATGTTTCTCTCTCTCTCTCTCTACCTCTCCCTTCCACTCTCTCTAAAAATCAATAGAAAAATAGACCTTCACATGAGGATTAATAACAACAAAATAAGTATTTGCTACTTATTGTCCGGGAAAAGTTTACAAGAGAAGAAATCATTTCTACAGGATAAGATTTCTTTTATCAAAATGAAACTTTATAAAAACAATAATCCTTGTCATGGTCCTTCCACCAGTCATTCAACAAATACGGAGTGAGCATCCCTGAGCATCTTACTATGGGAGATACTGCGAGCAAACTAGACCCCGCCTTCGCCTGTGCTAATTTGAAATACATGTGGGCAGCCCAGGTGGAAGAGCCAGTGCCTGCAAGAGAGCCTGGAGTGTGCCAGTTGAGTGGATTGGTAAACAGGGGCAGAGAAGGTCAAAGGAAGGAGAGGACATTGTGTATTTGAGATATTTAAGGGAACAGAGGTTTGTGTGAGCCATGCACGCAGAACCAAGGAAGGGGCCAGGCGCGTTCTATCGGCCAGAAACGTCAAGGAGATGCGAGGCAGTTACCTTGGTGATCAGTTCATCGCTCTTGACCTTCGAGAGCAAGCGTTTCAGGGGAGGATGGCATTGGGAGCCTGATGGTGGTGAGTGATGGGCAGCTGCCTCTGAGGAAGTGGAAGGTGGTCACTCACTGTAGACGTTTGATAGTGAAGGGAGGAAAGCACAGCAGAGACGATGAAATTCTGTTCTCTCAGGAGAAATTGGTTATTTTGAAGGTAGGAGCGGTGAGTTGAAGAGGAGAGGTTAATTATGTCTGAAAGGGAACAATCCTATATTTTTAATACCACGCTCAATTGTCAGCAAATGCTAATTGAACACTATATACAAAATACCCCTTAAAATGAATATATATATACATATATGGAGCATGAGAGGTTTTCTATGCAATACTTTATATAATAAAGAACTAATATGTTAATTAGACTGGACAGCGGAACAACCTTTCTGAACCACCAATGGTCAGGACCTCAAGGTAGCCTGGACTGTGGGGGCCAAGCCCCGAATTTCGTGCATCAGGCCTCTAGTTAGATTATAAAGTCCCAGAGGGGATATTGCTAATAAAGGAAAGAACCACAGGAAAATTGATTGTATTTTCGATAGAGAAGTGAACTGGCATAAATTGTATTTCTTCATGTTATGTGAAAACGGGACATTAAGAAACTCAAATATCATTGATTAGTAATTCAAGTAAGTTGGGGAGGAGGAAGGATTGAAAGTGGTTCTATATTTAATTCTCTTTTTTTCACGAACACTAAAGTCTCATATCTCTGGTAGTGATTTAATGGGATTATTCCTTATTTTTGCATGGGACACCAAGGAAGGCCAATGGAAGAGGTGTTTTCCTGGCCCTCACCCCTCACCCCTGCTCATCTTCTCTGTCAGCCTGAACTCTCACTGCCAGTGCTTGTTCTGACCACTGTTTTATTTATTTATTATTTATTTTTTAAAATATATTTCTATTGATTTCAGAGAGGAAGGGAGAGGGACAGAGAGACAGAGAAACATCAATGATGTGAGAGAATCATTGATCGGCTGCCTCCTGCACGCACCACACTGGGGATCAAGCCTACAACCCAGGCATGTGCCCTGACCAGGAATCAAATCATGACCTCTGGGTTCATAGGTCAATGCTCTACCACTGAGCCACACCTGCCGGGCAGGCCTGACCACCGTTTTACAGCATTGATTGTTGAACAAGGTTGGGGAGATGCAGTTAGCATCTGTGGTCCATGAACCGGACAATTCCCTGAGGCTTACTTTCCTCCAATAGGGGAGTTTTTGGGGAGCCTGTCCTTCAGGACGGAGCGGGTTTGGTCAGAGTGACCTCAGCATGTGAGAGCGTGGACAGCAGGTGGGAAACACCTGCATGGGTGTGTGAGTGAGCGCTCACATCTGAATGCGGGTTCGTGACAATCATTCCTGGCTGTTCAAGATCCACGTTAATGCCCCTCCCTCCTTCAGAACACAGATGTGTCATTTTTAAAGCCTAGTTCCACCAGCGACCTCACGTGTGTCACCCTCTGCTCCTCAGACACGGGCGTGTTCGCCGTGGTGAACAGCCGGTCCTTGTCTCTGCTGGGGAAGCTGACCATCAGCGCTGCCTTCAACGTTGTGTACATCTACACCTCCGAGCTCTACCCCACGGTCATCAGGTACGCCTCCCACAGCCTCCGTCCCACACACACAGCCTTCCACACCACCAATCCCACACACACAGCCTCCCACAGCCTCCATCCCATACACACAGTCTCCGTCCCCCACACACAGCCTCCATCACACACACACACACACACACACACACACACACACACACACAGCCTCCATCCCCCACACACAGCCTCTGTCCCCCACACACAGCCTCCCACAGCCTCCATCCCATACACACAGCCTCCGTCCCCCACACACAGCCTCCATCACACACACACACACACACACACACACAGCCTCCGTCCCCCACACACAGCCTTCCACAGCCTCCATCCCATACACACAGCCTCCGTCCCCCACACACAGCCTCCATCACACACACACACACACACACACACACGCACACACACACATACACATACAGCCTCCATCCCATACACACAGCCTCGGTCCCACACACACAGCCTCCGTCACACACACACACACACACACAGCCTCGGTCCCACACACACAGCCTCCATCACACACACACACACACACACACACACACACACACCCCAGGGCCTTCACACTGTCCCCCTAGAACTCACTGACTCTGTCCCTTTCTCCTGCCTTTCAGGAACGTCGGGCTTGGCACCTGCTCCATGTTCTCCCGCGTCGGTGGGATCATTGCTCCCTTCGTCCCCTCTCTGGTTGGTTGGTTCCTCCTCGCCCGTTTCTCCTGATCCTCTGCTTTGGAAAAGCCTGTGCTTTAGAGTAGAACGCGGTCATGGACTGCCGCCATCCAAGATCAGTCCGACGCACCGGGAGCCTGTGCCTTTTGGAGGCCGGGTCTGCAGGGCGGTGGACTCCTAGGAAGCGGCGGTGATGGACAGTTGTCCACAGAACGTCCACAACCGCCGCCCCAAGCCTGTCCCCAGCCAGTCTAGGCGGGAGTCCTAGGTCAGACCCTCAGAGCCTGAGCCCCTCCTGGCAGGAAGGATTCGGGCTGTCATTTCAGTCTAACTAACCTTTTAAAGGCAGGGTCTGCAGGGCGAATGGACTCCTACCCAGAATGCTTTCACTCCCCCCAACCCACCCCAGCTCTGATTTTCCGCTCATCCTTCCTCGCCGGACACTCAGCAAAAGCCACCTTGCCCCTTCTTGTCCCCATTCACAAGCTAGTCCATCAGTGAGCACTTATGAGGCGTCTGCCGTGTGCAGCCTCCGTGCTCAGCTCCCTCTGTATGTCGCCTCCTGCGGTCACAGCGACCCTGGCGGGCGGTGTGTGACCCTGTATTAAGGGTGAGGGAGCAGCAGGAAGAGGTTACATGCCTCCCCCAAGGCACACCACTTGGAAAAGAAACTCAGAAGAGAAAAACGCCTAGCAGTGTGTCTGTTAATACTTTTGCCATTTTCTAAGTATCAGAGCAAAGAGCTAGAGTGAAATGACAGCCCGAATCCTTCCTGCTAGGAAGGGCTCAGGCTCGGCCTGCTCTGACTGACCCCCAGTGCTGTTCCTCCGTCACTGCCCCCTGTGCCTGAGGGAGCAGCAGCCCCAGGGCCATTCCCTGCGGGGAGACTTGTTTGTAGCTATTCCTTTGGGGAGGCCTGGGCGGGGCAGGAAGTGGGGCAGGTTATCTCCAGGGAAACTAATTGGGACTTTCTGTTTGTTTCCATTCCACTCCCTGCCCCACAGAAATATGTGCAGTGGTCTTTACCGTTCATTGTCTTTGGAGCCACGGGCCTGACCTCGGGCCTGCTGAGTCTATTATTGCCCGAAACCCTTAACGCCCCGTTGCTAGAGACCGTTTCCGACCTCCAGGTGTACTCCTACCGAAGGCTGGGGGAGGAAGCTCTGATTTTGCAGACCTTGGACGTCCCACAGGTATGGCCATGTCATAAGCATTCAGAATCACCACTTAGATGATGATAGTTTTGTTTTGTTTGTTTTTTAGCATGTATTTTTATTCATTTCAGAGAGGAAGGGATAGGGATAGAGAGTCAGAAACATCAATGATGAGAGAGAATCTTAGATTGGCTGCCTTCTGCACGCCCCCCTTCTGGGGATCAAGCCCACAACCCGGGCCTGTGCCCTGACCAGGAATCCAGCTGTGACTTCCTGGTTCATAGGTTGACGCTCAACCACTGAGCCACACGGGCTGGGCCGATGGTAATTTTTCTTTGGGCGGGGGAGGGGGAAGAGTGTCTGGTTAGATGAGACAGAACTGAGCGAAACCGCTGGAAACAACGGTGGGGCGTGATAGCAGCTGCTTTTCAGAGAAATAAGGACGATCGATGGTTCGTTAGCTTTCCTGGGACACCTTGGACTAGCTCTTAGGAGGACACAGAAAGACACATCAGTCAGACACTCCATAGTAATGTTCGTTTGGAAGCGTCATGACATCCTTTCACGCCGCTCTCCCTCCTGTTGCAGTCCGTGGACGAGGGCAGCGCTCCGGGCAGTGAGAGCGAAGAGGAAGAATTCTATGATGCGGACGAAGGGACTCACATGATCAAGTGAGAGGCCCCAGGGCCTCCTCCGGAGCACTAACGAGAGCTGGGCTCGGACACAGGCCGAAGGTGCTCGGCTTCGGGACTGACTGCTTGCAGGCACAGAGCGAGCTGGAGAAGAGGATTTCATGAGCCAGGCCATCCGTGCATTGAGGAAATAAGACATCACTGTGTCCAGAATCCGGGGTTAGCTCAGAATCACGACCTCTGGTCAGACGCTCCAACCCACAGCCAGAGTGGCCAACCCACTTGTTTCTAGAAGTCCGATGGAGTTGCTGTTGCCTCATCAGGACCTAAAGGCGGATGTGTGAAAAGTTTTTCTCACCGTTTTAGTAACAGAAGATAAACACCCTTAAGATTTCATTGGTTAGGTCCTTACGATGCATCTTTATCCCCTGTCGGTCGCTCCTCGCCGGGAATCTGTGAGGCGCGCTGGTCTGCGCGGAGGAAAGCCCAGCATCTGTGTGGCCCGAGGCCCCCTCCCGAAATCTGCGTCCTCGGCTTGGTTTGCAGCCTCCTGGAGGGCTTGAGCTCCCGTGTCTTTAGTCCCACAGATGATCCTCCAGGAAAAGCCAGCTGTACCAACGCAACGTTCTCCGCCAGAGTGTGTGCCTGCAATTCTCTGTGAGCCCCCTCAACACTCCGATGGTGGCATTTCTTCCGTGCCCACTGCCTGCTCCTCTTGGAAAATTCCATCTCAGATTTGAATGCCAGCAGTGGCTTCAGAATCACGCTCAGCACGTGACGGGGTTTTATCAGGGAACGGGCACTTACCAAAAATGACATGTGGAGCACTTGGATGTTGGAGGGGACTGGGGGTGAAGGGGTGGGGGGAAAGGCGCCATTTTTTATAAGGAAGAAGAGAGAGTGACCTTCCACAAATTTTAAATTTGCTTTGTTTCCAGTGTCCGGCATGCAAAGAGGGACTGGGACAACCCTGAAGAACTTGAATCTTTCTAGTCCGAGGTCCGCCCCTCCCCGTGTGGTCAAGTGGAAGGCACGGTCATTGCATAGGAAAACTTGGTGTTTCACCAACTTTCAAGGAAATCAGAGTCATACTGAGTTTCCTAAAATCATACACTAAGAGATCTGTGTCCCCATGAAACCTGAATGTGACCTCAAATCGGAATATTCACCCGGAGTCAGTGGGCGTGGGCAGCAGTGCTGCAAGCCACTTTTCCACCCAGGAAAAACTGTGTTTTCAGAATTGCCATTTGTACTAATCGCTCAAGAGAGAAAGGAGCTGCATTGGAAGTAAAGAGGTGATGTCGCCGCGGCTGCTTCTGGGAACTCAGAGGCATCATCCCATCGGCTCCAGGACTCTCCTGTCCTTCTGGTCGACCTCTTGGTTCGCACAGTCTCAGTCTGCCCTCTATATTGGCTGAAGTGTTCTCATCTTCCTTATGCCTCGATGATGTACTGCGTTCTTCTAAGTAGGGCCACCTCAACCACGTTTATATCCCTGCTACACCCAGAACGTGGGCCTGGGTGCCGGAAGGACTAGTAAGAGTCACTGTTCACCTTCAGGGAAGTTATGGGACTCTCCCCCCATCCTCCCCCTCTCCCCCTCGTGTAAAGCCCGGGCAGATGCGACCCAAACCCCCAGACTGGGGAGTCCTGTTCGTGTTTCTCTGGAAACAAAGGCCCTGCCCCCCACCTGAGAGGAAGAGAGGAGGAATGTGCAAGGACACTTAGGAGTTTTCCGATGGTCGGGCATTCAAAATAAAACAACAAACTAAGGCACTTGTGGTTTGCAGTCGTTGGGAGCTTTCTTTGCATCGTAAGAGTAACATATCCCATCATAGAGAAGTTGGAAACCAGAATTTAAAGACTGTCTTACTCACAGACTCAGCACCCAGCGACAGCCAGTGTTGGCTTGGCTCTATGTGAAGACCAGTTAGGACTCTGGGTTGGCACTGAGGTTCCCTCTGCCCCTGGCTAAACAGGAGCAGTCCATCAGCTCTGTCCCTGAGGGTCCTCTTTGCCCAGCTCCGGGAGCAAGAAGAAGGGGTTTGAATATTACAATTTCTAGAGCTATAGTATTGGTACAGCAATAGAAAGGTAATCAGTAGGACATAATAGAGGCCCCAAAATAAGACCAAGCTATAAAACGGTTGGTTGTTGTTGAGAGAGACACATTGATTGGTTTCCTCCCATACACCCCAACGGGGCCAGGGAACAAATCTGCAACCCAGATATATTTCCTTGACAGGGAATCAAACCCATACCCCTTCAGGGCAAGGGCCGATGTTCTAATCACTGAGAACACTGGCCAGGGCTAAAACAATTTTTTTTTAAAGATGGTATGACAGAGGTAAACAGGAAAAATTCAGCACTGGGAGGTACTTGAACTTAGGTGAACATCTGTCACATCAGATAGGGGTTAGTTAGTTTTTAGCAAAATTCAGTATATTCTGTTAATTTAGAAAAGACTATTAGAACATCGGTTGATGTTATACATTAGGATAATAGCCTTTTACATTTTAATTTTTAAGTTATATTTTTTGGGTTGACATTGGTGATAGTAGGGTTATTAAATCATTGACGCTAAGTATTCTTGCTGGTGATAATACAACAGGTTCATTGGCTTCCTAGAGCCATTTTAATTACTCTGAACGCATTTCACCACAGATAGGAATTGGCTCTCCTGTTTGCTGTTGCAGGTGGCACATGTCCATTTAATCGTGTAGCAGGATCAAGCTGTGCGTGTCTGAATGTAAAGGAAGCAGGTGCAGAACACGTGGCCCGCTGCCCACAGCTGGAGTGTGATCTGACAAGCAGCTTTCCTTATCCACGCTAGTCCTTTCTTTGTTTATTTTTCTGACAATTTTATTAAACGCGTTAGGGTAACATTAGTTAATAAAATTAGGTGGATTTCAAGGGCATACTCCTATTATACTCATCTGTATATTGTATCGTGTGTTCATCACTCAACGTCAAGTCTCCTGTCACCATATATTTGACCCTCTTTTCCTCCCTCCACCCCCCTTTCCCTCTGGTCACTACCATACTGTTGTCTGTGTCTACGGGTTTTTTTGTTTGTTGCTTTCTGTTTTATATCCCACATATGAGTAAAATCATATCATTCTCAACTTTTTCCATCAGACTTACTTTGCTTAGCATGATATTCCAAGGTCAGTGGTACTGAAGGAATACAACATCTCACTGATGATCCTTTCTTGAGGAAACAGATTGCCTATCATCAGCAAATATGTTAACGCCTCACACCTATTAGCTTAATAGTACAAAACGAAAAACAATGACCTCCAATGATGTATGTCTATCATATACTTGCTTCTAGTGCAACATAGTTGGATTGGAAAACTTAATTCTGAAATTTATAGGGAAGAAGAGCAGGAGCAGAGAGCAGTTCGTTTTGAGTAATACTCTTCCCGTTTCTTATTGAATTAATTTTTCCATTATAGTTTCCTCGGATGGGATACTATAACCGAGGGAGAAGAGGAGGATGAAGATCATTCGCTTTTACAGGAAGAGGGCAGCAGAACACTGAGGTTAGGAAGCCACAATCACACTGACTTTTCCATAAAGACTCCCAAGGACCTTCTTAATTTACATCGTAATTGAGGGTTGTATTAGTTTCCTACTGATGCTGTAACAAATGACCACAGACTTCACACAAACTTACTCTGTTCTAGTCCTGGAGGTCAGGTGGCAAATTACTCTTTCGGGGGTAAAATGATCATGTCAGCAGAGCTGGTTTCTGCTGGATTATCCGGGGGAAATCCATTTCTTGTCTCTTGCAGCTCCTAGAGGTTACAGCATTCCTTGGTCCTGGCCTCATCCTCCCAGTCTTTGCTTCTGTGGTGGCTTAGCCTTCTACTCACTCTGGTCTCCTGCCTCCCCCTGTAAGGAAGGGCCCACTGAGATAACTCAGGCCTATCACTCCATTTGAAGATCCGTATCTTTTGCCATAAAAGGTTACATTCAAGGGCTTTGGGGGCCATTATTTAGTCTATCCCAGGTGTCTTTTTAAAAAATTAAATTTATTGGAGTGACATTGGTTTAAAGGGTCATATATCCAGCACCATATTGGGCCCCTCCCACTGCCACCCTACCCACCCCCTTCCCTCTGACAACTGCCACCCTGCTGTTTGATATCATAGTTATCTTATGTGTATCAGCAAGAGATCCTATCTAGTGGAACCTGTTGGAGTCTTCAGTGCATAATTATAAGTTTTATAAAATAACCTCATCATTGTTAGAAGAAGCCAGCCCCAGACTATGGGTAACAGCCTCAAATCTGCATCTATTATTGATTCCCGCTTACTGTTGGAAAGGATGAATTTTAACCCTACTAAGCCTTCATCTCTGAGTTTTATTTTTGCTGTATCTTCACAATTTCCAGCAGTTTTTAAAAAATGAAAATCAGTGATGTTATTACCTCTACCTTTGCTATGTGCTCTAAAGCATTCTCAAGTTTCCATTGTAGTACTTATTGTGATTTAATACATCTTGATATCTCCCCTGGTAGGTCATAAGCTCTGTGAAAACTGGGTACATGTCTTCCTTTGTTCCTACTGCATGGACCTAGTGTGTCATAGGCATTCAAATGTTTTTGAAGGAACACATAAGTCTTTAACCATTTTTCCATATGAGCGTTATTGCTACCTCACATTGAAAAGCAAACAAAGACTGTATCGTATTCATCTTAGTAATTCTAAGAACTAACACAATATCTAGAACACTGTAGGCATTTATTAACTTTTTAAATGAATGCATGCCCAGGCACAAGTCAATCAAGATTAACTTAACTGGTCTATCAAGTAATGTACTCAAAAGGGACACTCCCCCAAAATCCATTTGAGAGGGAGGCTATGGATTACTCAGCTCCAGGAAAACTCCTTATAGATAACTAGACCCATTCATTCCAACGTAACCTTCTTATTCCTTAATCTCAACATTTTGTGCAAAGTTAGAGTTAAAATTAGAACACATTTAAGAGAGAAAGGACCCCTTTTGTCTCAGGTTTCTACCTTGAAAATGGAAGTAAGCAGAGAAGGATTGATTATTAAATAAATTGCCCATGCTCTTCTAGACATGACTAAAGTACCATTCATCCTCCTGGGTGTAGAATGAATGAACTTGGTGGTTTTTTAACTAAGACCTCTCCCTGCCCCCACTGAGAGGCAGTTTACCCTATGAAGATATTGTTGAGAGGAAATTTTGGCACAAGCATCCATGTTATAACATTCAGTTCTCTTAAAATAATTCATCAGGGAAACAACACGGAAAGAGTTTGGAAATGCTGTCAATTGGACTCCAGGCACTTGAGAGATCAGCATGTTTTAAAAAAAAAAATCAGCCTTGTTTTATGGCTCAATGGATAGAGCGTCAGCTTGCAGACTGAAGGGTCCTGGGTTTGATTCCAGTCAAGGGCATATGCCTCGGTTGCAGGTTCTATCCCTGACTCTCGTTGGAGGCATGTGTGGGGACAACCTCTCGGTGTGTCTTTCTTATGTCGATGTTTCTCTCTGTCTCGCCTCCCTCCCTTCTACTATCTTCATATCAATGAAAAAATGTCCTCGGGTGAGGATTGACAAAAAAGAAAAAAAAATTAGGTATTGGATCAATGTCTCGATTTTTCTGTTTGCTGGGTAAGCTGAAATACTGACTCTCCTATGTTGACTAAAACGTAGGTCACCTTTGACTTACCAGAGAAATGCTTTGTCGGAGGAATGACTGAAAGTAATGCCTCCGGGGAAAGTTGGACAGTGATGGTAGTTGAATTTATTTCTTCCTCCTGACACATCTCAGAAGAAGCCCTTTATTACTGAGTAGGTTCCCAAACATCTTCAAGCAGAAACGTGACAAAGCAGCATAGTTCTCAGTGAAAGAATTTATGATCTTCCCAACCCGATCCATCACGGGAGGGGATAGGCTGGGAAAGGGTCCAGTCCAGCTGACTGGAGAACAGTGTCTGTGTAACAGGTGAAGACCTGGGGCAATAACAGAGAATTAGGAGAGAGGGGGCGGGGATTATTTGTCAAAGAGCAAAATCCATGTTGTCTTTCTCTTGTGCAACTAAGTATTTGAGTTAAGGAATAGAATCATTGGCAAGTTGAGCTGACAAAGGTGTCATAAAGTGACATCCCAGGAGAAATGGAGTGGACTTTGTCCAGCTGTGAATTTCCTTTCGAGCATTTCAAACCACCCCACGTAGCTTCAAGTTTATTGTAGGAAGAGGTGCACAAAACATCAAAACATTTCCTTAAGTCTTTCTCATTTATGAGATTGTTTCAGGGGAGGAGAGATCACATTTATTTATTCATCAAATACTTGGAGTACCTGCTGTTGCTGTGTCATATTCGAGGTGCTGGGTTAAAGGAGAAAATGTGTACTGAGTGTTGTTTTAAACATTTTATATTCCTTGGCACATCCAATCCTCAGAAGAAAACTGAAATGTTTACTTTCGATTCTATTTTATGAGTGAGAAACTGAGGCCATAATTAAGTAACTTTCCCAAGTCAAGTAACTAATCAGTGGCAAAGCCTCAATTGTCTGACTTCAGATGTCACTTCTTAAGTGACTGTGGTATGCTGCTATGATTCTTGAAAGATTCTTGCATTTCAGCCAGGCCTGCTTTTTCTGTGGGTTGTTTTGATGATAATGATGTTGATGGCGATGGTCACTGCCACGCATGCATTGAGTGTCATGCACCGTGTCCCCATGTTTAGACACATTCATTCTTTGGTTATGTCATACAGCTCTCACAAGTCTTATTAGATTAATAATCTCTACTCTGTGGATGAAAACAGCGAAGCTCACGGGCATTAAGTAACTTTTTCAATGTCACAGCTAGTAAATGGCAGTGCGAGGTCTAGATCCCATTTTGTCCTGTGCCAAGACCCTCATTCTCACCTCATTCTCCCTCTGTTCTGCCTCCTGTGAAGGAGACTTAATTCAGGAAAAGAGGGGTCACTTCTCTTTCAAAGGTGGTTAGAAATGGTCCCAACTTCTCCCTGGCTTTCAGGACAAGGACAGGAAGTTGAGAGGAGGGGACTCTGATGGAACCCTGAAGAAGCCAAGCTCAGATGTTTGGATGAGGCGCCCCCTGAGGGCAGACCATTGTAAGGATTGAGGCGCCCCCTGAGGGCAGACCTCTGGTTTACAACCACTGAGGTTATGTTCTTCACAGTGAAATCCATTGAAATTTAATTTTTGTCAGTAACTAACATGGGTGGAGAAGCTTGTCAAAACTCGTTTTTGGGCCAAATCCAATTATACAGTCTCATAGAGAAGATGAGAAAAAAAATCTTTGGGGTGCCCATTAGGCTCCCTTTCTTTCTTTTTCTTCTTTTTTTAAAGTATGTTTACTAATTTTAGAGAAAGAGGAAGGGGAAAGGAATAGATAGAAACATTGATGAGAAACTTCATCAATCACCCACCTTTTGCACATCCTCTGCTGGGGGTTGAGCTGGCAACCTGGGCATGTGCCCTGACTGGGAATTGAGACCATGACCTCTTGATTCCTGGGTTGATGCTCAACCACTGAACCACACTGGCCAGGCAGATTAACCGTATTTTTTTAAGCCCAGAGCAACTGCCACCATGTCTCATGTTGTATATACGCATGCACACACACACACACACACACACACACACACACACACAAAACTCATTAAATTTCTTTATTTAATGCTTAATAACTTTTAGCCCTGGAATAGATTAGAAGTCATTATAAATATCCTCTTAAGTCTTCACAATATCTCATGAATATAGTTTTGGAACCAGGGAGACTTATGTCTCATTCTCATTTTCCTCTTTAGCATGAAATGTGAACCTATTTTTATTATAAGTCTAAGTCTGTTGTGCTGATTTCCAAGTAATATATATGTAAAAGTCCAACTGCCACGTGGGACAGCTTCAATAAGTCGAAACAATTAGGAACTACCAAAGATTTTAGAATAAGGAGTTAATCCACCCATTAACATTATTTTTGAAGTGAATTCTCAGGGTGCCATATATTTCCAAAACTGAGATTGATATGACATGTTTCAAGAAAACATGTTTTCACCTGATCCACTTCATTTGCTAACTAATGAAGAAGTTACTGGAGAAATATGACTTTCATGAGACCATTTCCCTCCTCTTTATTGTCCTCGAAGATTTGCCATTTCCCATAGAAAAATGCCTGAGAGCTGACTTCCCCTTTCCCCTCCCACTTTTCTGTAGTGCCGGGTGAGGGAGGGGGCAGGAGCCTCTGGCGGGAGGAGTGGCAGGATTATACAAAAGCTCTTCCTCTAACCCTGGGCTGCAGTTTTCTCTCCTTGGAACCAGAGTGGGGTGGTAAGTGTGGGACCCAGGGACTTGGGGAGGGTGTGTGTTTCCATGTAGAACCCTACAGGGAAGAGGGGAGAGGGAGCTGGGAGCGCTGCCTGCAGCTCTCTGGGCCTTGGGGAGAGAAGGTGGTTCCTGAGGCTGCTTTCTGGCCGCAGTTATGCTCAGTTTC